CACCACTACTTCTTCATCTATGAAAAAGCTAGTCCCTAACGGAGTCGTCATCTTTTGTTGGTCGAAAAATTTAAAGAAAATAGTGAGAATTAAAAATCGTAAAATCTCTCTAACCGACATAGACAGAGAAATTACAATCTCTCAAAATGTAAAGATCTCTCTAACTGACTTAGACAAAGGCTATTACAATCCTTTAATAAGATTCCCGATTACAAAAGTGAGAAAGATCAACGGAGATCATTCCTTTTGTTTAATACTGGGTCCTTCTTGGTGGCGATGAGAGCTTGAGTCTTGCATCCCATTGACGATAGCCATTGTACTTTGACTTCTGAAGATGTGAGAGTCGTCAAATTGTAATTCTCGTCTGTTGTCATGGAAGTCATCAGATTGTAATTTTTATCATCAGTGTTTTGCGAGGATCAACTATCTGTAGTAATTTTTAGACAACCTACAGATGCATAACTATAAAAATCAGAGCATACAATCTCTACAAGTTGAGAAATTTTCTTTCTGGAAATTCTCAGCTTGAAGAATTGTTTAGCTGGTAATAGCCTAGTATAAACTACATTTAGGCCAGTATAATTAAGACCATGAAACTTTTTCCCATGACATGAAATTACTGACAAGAAAGATAAGGTCCTAGTGCATGTAATATTCTCATATAAATGTATGGAATTTTATTAATGCAGAGAATGCAAAATGCATTATTTAACTTTTTTTTAGGACATAAATACATAGATTTCCTATTACTTCTATCATTTAAGGGTATACAATACATTACTTTTGTACTAAGATATATAATCATCATGTGTACTTATTCTTGGAAAATTTTCTGATCCCGTGTATCAAAAAAATTAATAATTCAATTAGTGTTATTCATGTTTAGGAGACAGCAAAAAAGTACCAATTTCCATCAATTTCTATTTGAATGCAAATAAGGATTTCACTGACATTACACGATGAATATCATGCATAAGACTAGTAGAAATTGCAAAATAACACTGTACACAGCAAATAGTTGTGTGAAGTAGTAAGTTATTAGTCAATGAAGTTATTTTAGAATAGAACAGGACTCATACCTGAGGAGGAACCAAGGGAGCTTTTCTAAGTGGTCTTTTAATGCTATCATTATCTGCAAAATTTTCTCTTTCAGACATTCTCTCGAGCACCTTGGTGACATCATTATCTCCGATCGCTAATTGTTGCGTTAGTTGTTGCTGCACACAATAATTCCTCCAAAATCTCAACTTTAATCCCACCATTGTCCATACAATTCAAATGGGTCTTTAAGAAAACAACAAATTTGCATACCTTCATCCAAATTTTATCTGGCAATTGCTCCCCTTTCGAAGCTTTTGCTAACTCTATGCTCCTACATTTTAAAAAGTAACAAAATTAAAATTTGCAAACAGGGATTAAGTTAGTGATTAAAGTTGAGAAATTTAGCTAACCTGTTTTAAAGAGATCATCAAGCTTGTCTCCTTCATAACAGCTTGAAATTGACATGTTTGATTAAAACAAACCAAATAAAATTTATAGAGGTATAGAATTTGTCCCTTGAGCACCCAAATTGGTATCTGATCATCTTCCAATTGTCCTATATTTAGGTTAACTTTCTTTCTAAGAAGAGGGTGTGTATGTTTCCCTCTTATGTTTTAATATATGATAGAATACTTAACAAAGAAATGGCATATGTCAGTTGCCAAAGGAAATAGACTGCAAAAACTTGTAATTGACAAATAAAAGAGAGTATTTGGTGTTTCTTGATTAAATAGATTTGTAAGACAAACAACTTAATTTGCATCGAATCGCAGCTACAAAGTAGGAGTCTGTTGCCCTTTTTCTCTATGGTTTCAGAGCACTAAATATTTTCTCTAGGAAATATCATTAAATAAAGTCATGGTTATTAGTGAATAATGGCAAATGGAAGTAGACCGTGAAGATAGTAGAGAGATTGAGCGTTGATGGTGTTTGTTTAAGTGAGATGTATCATTGTTGAATTTTATTAATGCAGAGAATGCAAAATGCATTATTTAACTTTTTTTTAGGACATAAATACATAGATTTCCTATTACTTCTATCATTTAAGGGTATACAATACATTACTTTTGTACTAAGATATATAATCATCATGTGTACTTATTCTTGGAAAATTTTCTGATCCCGTGTATCAAAAAAATTAATAATTCAATTAGTGTTATTCATGTTTAGGAGACAGCAAAAAAGTACCAATTTCCATCAATTTCTATTTGAATGCAAATAAGGATTTCACTGACATTACACGATGAATATCATGCATAAGACTAGTAGAAATTGCAAAATAACACTGTACACAGCAAATAGTTGTGTGAAGTAGTAAGTTATTAGTCAATGAAGTTATTTTAGAATAGAACAGGACTCATACCTGAGGAGGAACCAAGGGAGCTTTTCTAAGTGGTCTTTTAATGCTATCATTATCTGCAAAATTTTCTCTTTCAGACATTCTCTCGAGCACCTTGGTGACATCATTATCTCCGATCGCTAATTGTTGCGTTAGTTGTTGCTGCACACAATAATTCCTCCAAAATCTCAACTTTAATCCCACCATTGTCCATACAATTCAAATGGGTCTTTAAGAAAACAACAAATTTGCATACCTTCATCCAAATTTTATCTGGCAATTGCTCCCCTTTCGAAGCTTTTGCTAACTCTATGCTCCTACATTTTAAAAAGTAACAAAATTAAAATTTGCAAACAGGGATTAAGTTAGTGATTAAAGTTGAGAAATTTAGCTAACCTGTTTTAAAGAGATCATCAAGCTTGTCTCCTTCATAACAGCTTGAAATTGACATGTTTGATTAAAACAAACCAAATAAAATTTATAGAGGTATAGAATTTGTCCCTTGAGCACCCAAATTGGTATCTGATTCCATTCTCAATTGTCCTATATTTAGGTATACTTTTCGTTGTCTAAGAAAGAGGGTGTCGTATGTTCGCCGTCTTATGTATTTAATACTATGCATAAGATACTTAACAAAGAAGATGCGCATAGTGTCACGTTGCCAAACAGGAGAAATTAGAACTCGGCAAAACTCCTGCCTAATTCACGAACCCCCCCACCCCCAACCATAAAAGAGAAGTATTTGGTGTTTGCTTGATCTACAGATAGATTTTAAGACTAAACAGAGCTCTAATTTGCTAATCGAATTCGCAGCTTACAAAGTCCAGGAGCTCCGCTCGCTTGCCTCTTTTTCTCTACTGTTTTCAGAGCCTACAATATTCATTCTCTAAGGAATATCATTAAAGTAAAGTCATCGGTTATTGTGAATAATGGCATGTGAAGTAGATCCCCGTCCGAGACTCGTAGAGAGATTGAGCGGTTGATTGGGTGTATTGTCTTTAAGCTGAGATGTATCATTGTTGTTTTTTGAATGGATTATCTTGGGTTTAGACCTCGGCCTACCTAAGACGCTCTTTTATTGTGGCGTTTAGTTCTGAACCCTCCCTACGATACAAGTTCTGCTAACTGCTGTATAATATGACACACAAATCCTCATGGGAACACAGTACTATACATGTTTACTTTCTGTAGCATTCCGTCATCACGGTTTTGCCTTCCGCGAGTGCCGTAAGAATATTTAGTGTCATTCGCGAATCGTTACAGACACAACGTTTATACGTCGGACACGTCTTTAACGCTGAACTACAAACTGCTGCAACAAATGTGTTTAATGATGCTTTAATTAGCCTAAATAATTACTTGTAGGAGTATTTCTAATAAAGCATGCATTGCATAATTTAAATCATCCATGCGAAACTAGGTTCAATGAAAAAGGCAGACTAATTATTATAGACTTGCAATATTTTGTCTCCTACGGTGCATTGCACATGGTAATCCAGTCGAGTAGAAAACGAAAGGTAAACAAACCCCTTTAAACCAAAAAGAAAGCAAAGTAAAAAAACCATATAAACACAGTCCAAATCTCCCCCCCTATCTTCGCACCTAAAGTCGCAGCTCTGCATCATTTCTGTAGTTACTGAAGTTAACATCAACTGATGACTTGTGAGAGCAGTGAGACATGTTGTGACCTCTATGCTAATACATCCATAGATGTTTCCCTGACTTAACCTGAAGGAGAAAAAAGAACTAAGCGAGTCAATTAAATTCCTATTCACGCTAGCGAGATATTGCATAAGTGATAAACTCATATCTTTAGATCTCAAGTTCCTGCCATACCGCTATAACTGCAATAAAACAAAGTGTTAAGCAGGCAGACACTCACTCCTTGTAAAATAAGTAAAAAAGATGCTCACTACTCGACATGTTTCCTCTAACCAAAGCATCGAAATCTTTGATTTCTAAGCAGTTTCAAGCTCAACGCGCAGCTTGCATGTAATAATTACTGAGCAAAGCTCTTTAGAAGTTTCTAACTGCCAGAGTTTAACGCCCCATTTTTTTAACCAATCACTACTTCTATCTGTAGCCACAAGAGTTTAAATCTACTCCTGAATGGACCATCTACATTGATAAATCCATGACGGCAACCGCGCGACTAGGTTCCAAGGCCAAAGAGGAAGATGGGGTTGCAATGACAACGTGGTGACTGGAGATCCTTGAAGAATGGCTTGGAATTGGATCTCAGAGAGGTAAAAACACTTGTCCTCTCTAATTCTAATCCTCAATCGGGAATTCGCCAATCTAATTGAGATGAGATCTATGGTTGGGCGGAGCTTAATGTAGAAAATCATGATGATTTGAACGTTTTTAATGATGAATTGATTTCAAAATTTTCCCTACTGAGAAGTACATATTTGATAAATTCATAGGACATATTTGATAAATTCGTAGGTGATCTCAAACAGAACAAAGTTTATGACTCCCTATCGTCTGCTCCAATGAAAGAAGTTGACTTAGGGGTAACGATGTGAAGGTTGGAAATTCAGTAATTCGATTGTATAGAATCTGAGAACCTGCTGGATCTTCCTTCTATGGATAGAAGTCTTAATATACTTTTAGAACAACTGGACTCCAAAATGTGGGTTTTGGTCTGTGAAGCACTCGAACAATGTAATACGGATATCGGATACTCAATGTCACAGAGAAAGAACTGCTCGAGGTATTAGATAAAGTGATTACTGATTTTGAAATCCTGAGATCAAGAGAGTATGTCTGAAAACTCAAGTATGACATGTGGTAGATATTCAGTTTTGGCGAGAGTCAATTTCAAACCTCTGTTTCATCTTGGTGTCGTGATACTTGTAACAGAATGCTGGCCACAATTATAGAAGAAGAATGATTTGTATGTCAGTGCTGTTATGAGACGGATGACGAACTTGGGTTTCTCCCTTCCTATTATTGCTAGAGATGATTACTTACCTTAGATCAACGAATCCTTGAAAAGGGCAAGAGTACTATGTTTTTCAGCAATTGTACCTTGACTTTGTTTCAAAGGGATTAAAAGCATTTGAGATGATAAGCCCTAATCCAATTTTTGACCACATTTCTAATTCAAAGAAGGTGGGTTTAGATTATATCATACCGGGAAATTTCTTCTGTTGAAGGATTATTATACGAATTGTCTGCGTAGAGAGATGTAAGCCAGCATGCAGTTCATTTGTGTGAAAGCATACATCAAGAATGGAATCCACAAATCAAAAAAAAATTACAGTAACTTGCTCACAGGATAATCATTATAAAAATTCAACAAATTAAAGTAATGTGTTCTTGATGGGATTAAAAGTGACTCACTTGGTGAAATTTCACTAAAAAAATATCCAGAATCAATTACATTGAAGATTATAGTTCTAAACCCTAGATAATGCCAAATTCATGCTAATATCATGAAATTAAAGCTAAATTGACTCACTCGGTTTAATTCACAGAGAATACATACAGAAACAATTAGGTTATAGATCTAAACCCTAGGAAATATCTAAATCATACATAGTCCACGGGATTGGAGAAACTTACGGTGGTGATCGAACTGCTACTGGTGGATCTCACGATCCACTTCATCAGCGAACATATTGAAGCGCCTCCAAAGACCGCATTTGACATCGTGAAGATGATGAAAGAAATCACCCGTTATCCTTTCGAGTCCATTCCTTAGGAAGTAATAGGGCTACCCGTATTCTCTGAAGCGCGGATCACAAAGAATGGCATCACACTTATTAAACAATGGCGAAAGCTCGGGCTCAGTAGGCAAGGGCACCACCACCTCCTCCTCCTCCCACCTGAACAAGACACAGAGGTCGTATGATTCACTGAAGGGATCCCTAGTGACGGGAAATGTAAGCATTGTGTGTGTTTATATTTGGAAAATCTAATCCTGTGTACCAAAAAATTAATAATTCAGTCAGCACCGTTCATGTTTGGAAGGAAACAACAAAAAGTAGCGATTTCCATTTCAACGCAAGCAAATATTTCACTTACATTGATTGATGAACATCATGCATAAACAAATAGAAATTGCGAAGCATAACATTGCATAACAAATTTTCGTGTGTAGTATAAATTATTAATCAATAAAGAAATTTGGAATAGACCAGGATTTATACCTGGAGTGGAGCCAATGAAGCTCTTCTGGGAGGTGTCTTAATGTTATGAGTTTCAATCAAGATTTTCTCTTTCAGACATTCTCTCGAGCACCCAAGTGACATCGTTAACCCCAATAGCAAATTGTTGCTACAGAAATCAAGTTCCTCCAAAATATCAACTTTAATCCCACCATTGTTCATAAACCTCAAATGGGTAATCAAAAAATAACAAAAGTACACAACCTTCATCACATTTTATCTTGCAGTTGCTCCCGTTTCGAAGCTTTTGCTAACTCTACGCTCCTACAAGTAAAAGAAGTTAACATAACAATTAAAATTTGCAAGTGAGGATCAGGTTTATGATTAAAGTTGAGAAATTTAGTTAACCTGCGGAGACTTGTGAGGAGATCATCAAGTTGGTTCCCTTCGTAGCGGTTTGAAATTAACCCGATTGATTAAAGTAAGCCAAATAAAAATACTATCTTTAACTAGAGAAACTAGAGAAAAGGGACAGATTTTCAAAACCGACATGTTTTGAATTTTATTTCTAAAAGGAAAATGATTTAAGAATATGGGATCATGGGATGGGACAGGTGAGGTGTCCCCTCTCTATTGCATAATGAGTTGGTCATGCCAACTCATTATGCAATAAGGAGAGGACACCTCACCTGTCCCTTCCCTTGGTCCCATATTTTGGGTTCCCCTTTATGCAACACTCTTTCTAAAAGGAAATGATTAAGGACCAAAATATGGATCATGGGAATGGGACAGGTGAGGTGTACCCCTCCAATTATTGCATAATGAGTTGGCCCGGTATGGCCAACTCATTAATGCAATAAAGGAAGAGGACACCTCCACAATGTCCCTTCCTTGGTCCGCATAATTTTTGTCCCCTTAGCAACATATCCGATCATACGACCAAACTTCGAGATATGTTGCTCTTTCTAAAAAAAATAATTTTAAACTTAATTTCAAAAACGATCCGAGTTTCAGGCTCAAACTGGATCGTTTTTAAAATTAAGTTTGAATACGAGTTTGTTGAGAATTTTTAACAATCAGGTATGGATTTTGAAAATTTTGTCCCTAGAAAAAGGAAGAGAGAGAGAATATGTTCGCATATAGTTGGCGGGGCCAGTGGGCTTACAGTTTACATTATTAACTAAAATTTTAATATTTTTTAAGAAGAAAATTTTATGAAAAAATTATTCAACTAAAAATTTAATGAAGTTAGTCCAATTAGTGTTTAATCTTTAGAGTTGAGAAAATATATAATAACTAAATTTTTTAAGAAGAAAATCAGATTAAGAAACTTTTGGTACTCTTTTAATATGTATGCTTAAAAAAATTTATGTGCAAATATTATTTCTGATTTATGTATCTTTGAGAGTTTCTTGTAAAAATAAATTATCTAATGGAGTCTTAATTACATTAGGTTTAGGAGTTTGGAAGTTATTCTCTAAATTCTTATGAATTTCAGTTTCCTCGAGTCTATCATACTGCCCGTTTAAAAGCACAAGTCGCAAAAATCTTTTCTTAGACAAATATACGCCCCTTTATATATTTGAACTACTTATCTATAATCAAATTCTAATTTTCAAATTTAATTTTAATGATGGGAAAACGATGCTTTTATTTTAGAACTAACAAAAATAACCGATTAAAATAACCGATCTCAATAATTACAAGCCTTAATACGATAGTTGACCGTATTAATTTCTTAGCCGCCTCGTGCTTTCAAATTTTCACTTTCATTAGGTTACATTCTTTAAAAATGCAATATTTATAATTCAACGCGTCACTTGACTTGATCATAACAACAATTTAAGTAATTGATATGATCTCTATTGATTTTTTCTTTCCTTTTGGGTGGCTCTCCACCATATCATAAAACCATGCCAAACAACTCAAAACCAATTCGTGATTTTTTAGTTAAAAAAACTTTGTTTTCTTTCATGCACCAACGTGGCCAAAGATATCAATAAGCAAGCCAACCAAGCAATCACAAAGAGCTACCTCATCCTCTACCGCAATCTAATAGGAACTTGATTGTAATATAATTCAAATCCTAATAAAACTCTAATTATGACTATTATCCTATCATATGTAATACCTCGTACCTATATATAAACCAAGAAATTACACAATTTTTATACTAACTCCATCTCCTTCAACATGTATGTTTCTTTATTATATTTTCATGCATAATTACTCTTTAGAAATATTGTGTATTTGATTTAATGGTGATGGTGATATTTGTTTTACATTGCAATTACATTTTAAGGCAATTTAATTTTAAAAAAAAATTACTTCAATTTTATTGCAGAATTTTGAGGATTAAGGATTTGATTGTTGCAGGTTCTCCCATTTATAAAGGTAAATCTTCATGTTTGATATTAATGTAATTTAGATTTATTTGATTATATATTTAATTTGATTAAACTGAAATATAAAATAGATACCTTTCCTCTTCTTTTTTTAAAATTTAACTGATTAAAATAACCGATTAAAAGATTGCTGTCAAAACAATGATTCTCTCCGCTTCATTTATGATGTCTCCAAGTTATCTACTATATTTCACAAAATATGCTATATTAAGATCTTTTATTAGGTAGTGAAGCGAAAGTGAGAGGAAGAGGATGGTTGGCTTTGTGTTCGGTTACCTTTGCTCTTTTGCACAGAAGAAACCGATCCGGAGACTGCGGAGTCTCAGTTCTCTTTAATTTTAACTCGGAGTCGCATCTGTCCCCCTTTCATGGTTATCAAAGGGCCACGAGTTGTTATCCTGCTCTCTAGCCATGCCACGTTCATTTTCTTGTCCATTTCTTTATTTAATTTAATAACTGCAATACCATTTGCCTATCAAAGTTGTTCCCTGCTCACTTTTACCCCTATACAAAATTAATTACACAAAGTCAACAGTCAATAATCTTTTATTCCTATCAATTCCCATCCGATTGATAACAAATCCTAACTTCCCAGATTAATTACTTTATATATCTCCGATTGATAACTTTGTACACAGTATCTAAAGAGTATTTGAAGCACCTGTAACAATTATTGTCTGTTACTTTAATAGATATACAATTCTTATCTAAAGAGTGTTTGATATATTAATTATCTGTTACCTTATATATCCCCAATTGATAACTTTATACACAAATTTTCCCAAAAGAAATAAATTCATATGTAAGGACCGTGAATTTTGATACTAGTTAAAATAATTTATTAGTATTTTAAAATATTTAATTATTATTTTTAAAAGAGTATCTGTATTTTTCTTGATTTTTTTTAGAATTTTACATGATTTAAAAATTTGGTTTTATATTATTTTAATTTAATAGTTTTGTTAATTATAAATTTAATTGATTACGTTTTTTTTAATTAATATTTTTTTATTGTTATTATTAATGTAAACATGAGTTTAGTATATATATAATATATATATAAATATTTGGTTGTTAATGATTTGTTAATATTATTATTCATTTAATTATTACTATAATAGTTATTCTTATGTATATGGTAACATATCTACATAATCAAATCTCTCTCTTTCATATTTATT